TCACAGTCTCACATTCTCACAGTCTCACAGATCATCAATAATTTTTGTGATAACGGACTCTCTGTCACAGTGCCTTGCCGTACTGAATGTCAGGTATACCCACACGCCCCACAGTCAGTCAGTCTGACAGTCAGTCAGTCACAAGACACACAAAATAAGTTTTTTATAGAAAAACAAAGTATTTTATTATTATACCATATCGTACATATTTAGCCGCCGGAAATTTAAACATTGGCCATCTATTTTTTTCTTCTGAAAAGTAAAAATAACACGCCTCCACGACACACGCGGGCTGCGGCGCGACGGCCACGTTCTATTTTTTTTGTTTTTTTGTTTTTTTAAATAAAAACAGAAAGAAAACAAAAAGAAAAGAATTGAAGCTTTCGTAATGTATTTATTTATCATATTTGTGTGTGTTTCGTCTATCAAATAAATAAACAAAAAATAACCGTAAATAGTCTTCATTTTATTCCTTCACCGCTCATAATGAATGGAGGCACGTTGTTACAACGTAGAAGCTACAATAGGCAATAACAAATATGCGAAACACGTCTATACTGCTCGTTCTCATCATACATATCAATGCATGCGTATTTGCACAAAGCTTCGATAACAATGATGTTTTTGTGGTAGAGGACAAGAATCTCGTTTTAGATAGTTCATTCGAGGAAGAAACTGGTGACTGGTATGATTGTGGCCGGAATGGTTTCGAATACTATTACTTGGAGGGTCGTACAGGCAATCAATCGGCACGAGTGAATGGTGCCGGCGAAGGAATCTCCGACTGGCACGGGTATGTTCAGAACTATTAAAGATCAAACATAGATCACTACGAAACCCAATTCTGAAAAATGATATGAATAGATAGCTCTCTTCTCGTAACTACATGATTGTGATTCCAATCTATATTTATCTAAGACGACATATAATACAAACAGCTAATATCGTATGTGGAAAATTTGATTTTTCTTGTTTATGGTGTGCACATATATGTGTTCAGCTATTTGGCTTTGGTCTGATAAGGAAAGAGGAGGTTCCTCAACATGTTTAAATAAGCTGTGAAATGTCATTTTAGCTATTAAACTACGAATAGTATCCAATTAGATGCATGCGTATTTGATGATGCGTGTGGTTTAGCACAAGAATTACTAGAGAAACTTGCAATGTATTTCTGCACTCTAACATATACGTCTACAATACACACATGTATCTATGCAGATATGAATCTACACAAATCCATCAACTTGAAAACATAAACATAAACGTGATTATATATATGTTGCAGTGCGTGTATGTGTACATGTATATATATATATATATATATATATCCTTATTTTCATGTATTCATGTATTCACGTTTATATTTTTTTCTCCATTTGTATCTAGGCTTACATATATATATATATTAGCTATAGATGCATGTAAATTTATAAATTCTATCACAAGCCTATTTAAGTTATTTATGCATATATATATATATATATATATATGTACTCAAAAAACCATCATATATATATATCTACATCTGAATTTTCGTTTGTGGTTCTGTGTGTATCCATAAATATGTATCTCGTATATATATATATATATATATGTATGTGCGTGTGTAATTATGTATGTATATATATATATGTTTCTGTACAATATATGTATAAACATAGATATACTCCTACTTATATACACTAATTTATCCACATTTATTGTAATGTTTCGCAGTAATGTTTATACATATTTGCGTGTGATATA